TAATGAAAAATAAATCACACTCATAAAAAATATAGAGATATTTGTCCCTCCAGTTAAACAGGCAAATAGTAGTATTGGGTGATCCATAGAAAAATAGGTTCCTAAAGGGATAATTGTGCCTTGTTGCAGTGAGCGTGCCCATTAGGCTAAAAGGTGCATGCGCCCCCTGCCGCCTCCTATTGCCAATAGTCCTACAATGATATATGTATCTTCTAAATATCCTAGTCCAAGAAATTCCAGTGTTATCAAAGAAGGTTGTCCCAGCCATTAGCTGCAAGACAGCTGATACAAACTGCCACAATTTTTTTTGCTCTCTTTTATTTTTTTCCCTTTTTATTTTAATTTTTTGTCCAACCAATCCAGGGTGTTCAACATTTCTATCTCAAATAGCTTTTGTAAGCACTAAAACTTTATTTTTATTATAATCAACTTATAACAGCAATATTATGCACTTCATGCAATATTTGTGCCAAAAGGACACATTGTTTCTCTAAATGTAAGTTTGTGATTGTTGAGACCCTCTTATGGGAAAATTGTTGTACTTGAAGCAATAGTTTTAAAAAGTAAAAAATAAACAAAACAAAACAAAAAACAAAGTCTGTGACATTTATTGTGATGTGAGAGCTTCTATGTGTGTCTCCCCAGATGCTTGGTGGTGTTATTTGTGACATCTTGTAACATGTTGTTGTTTTTAGTGTTATATCTAACCTTATTCACAATGGTGGTGAGCTCTCAAAAGGTGAATGTGCTCCCCAAATACAATGCTTGTCTTTACTCATGATATAGGTGAGCCTCATAAAAAGATTGATATACTCTTGTTGAATATGATCATTATTTTTCTTTGGTGTGTGTGAAGTTACGACCTTTGGTAATATTTTTGCTAAGAAAGGAAAATGTGAAGAAAACAATATTGCCTTGTGATTGCATGAAGACCAATTTGCAGCTTTATTTCCATTTTTTTTATATTTTCTTTTCTTTTTTTTCCATTTATCATCCTTATTATTATTGTGTTTCAATTGTTGATTTCATTTTCTTCAGCTGACAATGGTGCTACCAGGATGAACGTTTACTTCTTACTTAAGATGTAAAATAGTTGTGTAACTTAAGTTTATTATGTTAATTAACTTTTGCTATCAACACTGCCATTATGTTCAGACTTTAATTTGGGTTTGTTTCTAGTAAGGAAATCAAACTAACGTTATTTTTAAGTTAATCATAGCCTGATAACTGCCATGCCCATATCTTGAGTCCAGTGTTAAATAGTCACAACCTTTTATTGAGTCAGTGTTTTATGGTTAAGACCCATATCATGAGTTTGATAACTGTATAGTGTGTTTTTGTGTTGTGCGTGATCAGTGAAATAAGCTTTAGATTGGGCTTCTTTGAGAATTTGTAGAATCATCATTTCTCCTGTATACAACTCGCCTCTAAGAAGCACGGTCGGGCATATGGTGTGAGATCCATGCCCTTAAGGATGATGGATCAGTTGATATCATACCATCACGTGCTTCATCCCCTGTATTTGCCAAGGTCTTAGGTGTTGAGATGTCCATACTGTCATTTTAAAAAGATTATGCACATGGAAGTCACACAGCTGTCTGTACTCTTTCATGATGAATGTAATTTAAACAATGCCCTGTTGTTTTGTAATATGATCAGCAGTCCTTCAGTTTGGCCATGATTTTCATTTAAGTTCTTAGTAAGTAATCATAGGGGTCATGAGAATCTGTGAACAAGGTTTCTGTTGTAAGATCAAGCAACATGGCATATTATTAAGGCATTTTTTTCTGAATTGACTAATTGTTTCTTAATTTTTAGATTTTCAACTTACTTGCAGTACAGTCTTGTGGGTTCTCTGAACAAAAAGAAAGGAATTTAGATCTAACTAGGGCAAAAAAGCATCACATTAAAATCTTTTATCTTTCTCCTGTCTCCTTTGCCTCTTAAACAGTCTGATACGTTACTAAGATCAAGTTTGAAATTGGAACATTATTTTTTTATAATCATCTATGTCCTTGCTTACGGTACAACAGTATCATTGTAGACTGCATTTTTCTTGTTGTTTTTATTGCAGTACTTCACACCCAAATGTATATAATCAGCCAGTGGGAAGCTAAAACGTTAATTTTGTGCAAACCATATCCAGGATTACCCGATATGCCCTTTGTTCACTTCCTGTGGCTTGGTGTTTCCAGGCCTAGTCTCTAAGCAGCCTCCTGACTGCTAAATGACTCTACCTACCTCTGTTTATCTTGATGATAGTCACTTGATTAGCGAGGGTCACATGCGGTTCATGAGGACAAAACCATCGCTTCAGACTCAAACAATAGTGAACATGCTGGATCAAGATTCTCTACACAACTGCTTCTGCTTTGCATAGTGGCTGGTATTCTCTGCTGACCAGACTAGATGGTGTTCAGAGCAAATACACCACAGCCACTGCTGCTGCTTCAGTTGATGCCCTTTAGATGTAGCCCAGTTCTCAGATATTGTGTGGGTGTTATGTGGTGATGCAATCCATTAAAAAAAAGGGAAAAAGAAAATTAATCTCTACTTTTTAGAAGTTGTGTCTGAGAAATAAAGATAGAGTATAAGTCATGCATTTTATCATCCACATTTTACCTCATGACAGTGTATTGATTACAAGTAAAAAATGAATTTGAATGAAACGTGAAGAATCTGGTTCTTCTAACAAAATTAACTCTGTTCAGTAACACTTGGTATTTAATTGACATATATGCTGAGCCAATATTCTATTTGTTCTAGGCTATCACTTTTAGACATTTAGCCAAGAAAATTAGTAGTATAACAGACTGCTGTTTCAGATATCTTATTTCATTCCTTATCTAAAACAATAATATCTCTTGCATCCTGCCAACCTTGATTTGATTGGGTGATTTTGTGTGTGTGTGTGTGTGTGTGTGTGTGTGTGTGTGTGTGTGTGTGTGTGTGTGTGTGTGTGTGTGTGTGTGTGTGTGTGTGTGTGTGTGTGTGTTGTGTGTGTGTGAGTGAGTGAGTGAGTGAGTGAGTGAGTGAGTGAGTGAGTGAGTGAGTGAGTGAGTGAGTGAGTGAGTGTGTGAGTGTGAGTGTGAGTGTGAGTGTGAGTGTGAGTGTGTGTGTGTGTGTGTGTGTGTGTGGGCATGTGTGTGTTTTGTGTGTGGGCATGTGTGTGTGCGTGTGTGTGTGCGTATGTGTGTGTGTGCGTGTGTGTGTGTGTGTGTGTGTGTGTGTGTGTGTGTGTGTGTGTGTGTGTGGTGTGTGTGTGCGTGTGCATGTGCGTGTGTGTTTGTGTAGAATATATATCAGTCTTGGAGAGTTTATTATCACCCATCCTGGCTTTTCATTTTTCTGTTGCTATAAAACAGGAAATGCAATGCATAATTCCAACTAGTATGTACCTTGAGCCTCCTTCCCTGCTCAGCATCACAGAAAGGTAGATTTATTAAAAAGAACCACCTCATGCCACTTACGCTATTGCATGTTCATTTTAAAGTGCAAATGTCAAACATTTTGTTTCTTCTCATTCCATATGGAACTTTTTCTCCCAAAGCTATATGATACCAATCAAGGCCAGAGATCTTAGGCTATCTTTTTTTCCTTCTCTCTTTTTATGCTGTTGCAATCGTTTTGCCCCATTAACTTGGAAATGTGGGTAACTAATTTAAGTGAAAGGGATGATTTATGGTAAGTGTTCTACAACTGTGGAAAAATCAACTTGGTTAAAAACTGCTCATCAGATCAAATTTAAGAAAATCTTTTAACTTATTTCAACTGATAAATGACATAACTTTATAAGCCAAAAACAAAAAACACATAAATGACTGAGAAAGTGCAATACAACTTATAAGGTAAAAATATAAACCACAGGAAAATGGGTGCAGTTTGTTAACGGGTGATTAGAATATATATGATGAATACTCACATATACAAGAACATCAAATACCACTGCAAAAACTGCTATATGACAAAACATACACTAATTTCTGGAGACATTATTCAGTAGATAACGAAAAACTATTCAAGGAAGCTTAGACAAATAATAAAGCATTGAGGAGTTCTATCATATATTCATCATGGCAGTAATATCAACAATGATATTAAAAACAATCAAACAATGATGAACAAAATAGAGGCTCATGATTAATGGTTGAAACAAATAAATGTGTTAGCACTATGGTAAAGTCTTGTGGCAAAATGGGTAGAGAAGAGTTAAAGATCAGGATAGAATGTGTTAGATGTCAAAGATTAGAGAGCATTATAGGATAGGATGGTAGTGAAAAGGGTAAAGAGGGGATCAAATGAAGTAAAGCCGAGATTAGTGGAAAAAAAGAAAGGGTTAAGGGGGTTAGGTGATTGAATGTAATGGGGTGTATTTGTGGCTGGGAAAGGAATAAGAGCATTGTTCAAGGAAAACAGATGGCTGTTGGAGAAGTAGAAGGAGAAGAAACCTTAGGATGAGAATAGCGAACTGGTGAAAGTGATGAAGTATCAGGAAGAGTGTTAGGAGGGGAGGGGTCTGGAGAAGGGCACTATTGTGACAGAGGGATTCATGTGAGCATTCAGGTAGGAGTGGTAATGATACTGGGGAACAAAGAGGGGATGGTGCACAAAGAGAAGGAGAGGATGAGGTGTGTTTGGAGATTGTAGGAAGAAGAGGAAAATGGATATCAGCAAATACTGTAAATGTAGAGGGAGTAAGAACAGAGATTGGAGGGTGGATGAGGGCTGGAGTGTTCCTTTGGGTCATCTTTAGGAAAGTTTGGATGTCTACAAGTTTGTGGAGGGGAATTTGGTGAAGAGGATTGAGAAACAAAGGTTCTCCTGTAAGAAGAAGAGAGGACAGATATCTGAGGAGCAGAGGAAAAGGAGGGTGTAGGAGAGGATGTGGTAGAAGATGGAGAGGAACGTTAGGTTGTCTGGTGTGCTTTGTTTGAATCTGAGAACTGCTACCTTACATTCAAGCTTATATGTAAGACAGTTCCTATGAAATACATAATGGGAGCCACAACAACTGGCACATGTACGTGACTGAGCAGAGCAATTTGAACGGTCATGACCAGGTTGGGCACATTGAATGCAGTAGATGATGGAGGAGAGTCAATATGGTCGGACAGGACAGTACATTCCACCAATACAAACTTTATCGGAGAGGTCACTTTACTGCCACGGCATCATAATCAACAAGGCAGACAAGTAGGTAATTTTCATTGTCTGACCAGTTCTTGTCATAGACAGGACAATCAGTCAGGGAGACAGAAACAGTTCCAGTACAAGTATTAAAAATAAATTTGCCAGTGAGGTCTGTTAGGATAGATAGTGCACATGCTTGGGACTGTCACAAGGCGTGAAACTTTGCCTACTTGTTTTTCGAGACATTGTTGGAAGAGGAGAATATTGTCAGAGTAAGAGGGTGTGGGAGGGAATCACAAAGAATTGACTTGGCTGGACCAAAGAGAGTACACAAAAGGTTTACAGAGGTGGAAGCAGTTAGATAAGTGCAGAAGGATGATAGGGTGGTGTGGAGTGAAGTAGTACTATGGGGGGGGGATGAAATAAGGATGAAAGGTAGTAGTAAGGGGAAGAGGGCAGATAATGAATTAGACAAATGGAGTGGAGAATATTGGGAGAGGGGAAAGGGTGCATTCTGAAGGTCAAAGAATAACCTGGGTGGTTAGTTCGGAGTGGGTAGAGCTGTCTGTAAACAATGAGGACGGGGTATTAGTATAAGTGGTCAGAGCTGTGGCCAAAGGAGAGGCTGGGGTCAGAAAACCAGCAAAATTGAATTTAGATAGGCTAGTTGATGAAGGGGTAAGCATTAATGCCCCTTAAAAGTATAAGAAAATATTCATTATTAGCCATGGTGAGCCTGAAATAAATGGGGAAAAGAAATGGTCTACCCTTAGGGACCTCATAAGGGGTAAGGGCTAGGGAATTAACCAAGGGAATACTGTGCCTGTGGCTCCTAGAAGCCGTTCATGACTGACACAAAGGCAGCCTTTCATACTTTCTGAACAGCTCTCACACCTTAGAAAATGGACAGAAGGGGGAAGAAGAAAAGGAAAAGGAAAGAGGGAGACGAAAAGACCAAGCAAAATATGCTGAGGTGAGGGATGAGGCCCATGGCAGGGAAAGATAATGTATGAAACATCACATAGTTTCATTAAGAACGATAACCAAAACTATGAAAATGAGAAACACAATAGAAACATATAAGAATCTCATATAAGACATTAAAGCATGTGTCACTTTCAACTCCCACTTTGATACTATAATTTCACACAAGTACTATATTACTTGCCCTCTTCTTTTACACAAGTCTACGGCCAACCCTGCCACGTTTCACTAACTGATACTTTGTGATTAAGCGTTGATATGGAGTGATGACATTGGTTTTAGGTATGGTTACTCATGCTATTAGACCTACCTTGTCAGAAGTAAATAACATTGGACAAAAGTGCCGATTCAATTGTAATTGCTTTCTCATAAACTTAATATTTCCGAATTACAATCATAATTATAGTAACGATTATATTCCGTAATACATAGAGAAAGAGAGTCTAGTTGCCTCTAATTTTGTCTACATAATTTCACTATAATTTCAAGTAGATCCTGACAAAAACCGCACCTGTGTGCCGGCCATACAAGACTGAAACGTTTCAGTCTTTGGTGTTTGTTCGTTCCTTTTATCCTTTCGTACAGCTACATTTGTCACTTTATTTGCATTAGTGCTTCCTCACATAAAACTGAAACAAAAATATACATACTTACACACAAAACCTTGTTTTCTTCATGTAAAAACAATCTTTGGCAGTATTGGAAATGAAACCCTACACCTAAATGAAAGAATCTGAGCTTACCATGTAGTAGAACATATCTTTATATGAAAGTTTTGTTCTACACCATTTGCTTCGCAAATTGATATGAAAGGTAATAAAGAGAGCATACATTTCCTGATTTCTAGGGGCCTCACCAACCCTACTCTTCCAGCGCCGATTAAATGACTCATGAATTGTTAAAAGTGACGGAAATTCGGACGGATTTGTAGCGGATGACGTGTGTGAAGGAAATCATATGAGCGTGAACGTGACATGACCATGGCCACTCAAGTTCACCTCAATAGAACCAATCAAATATGAAATAGATCATCAAGTGACAATAGAAGGTGGGCCTTGGGGAAGGCAGTTGCAATCCAAATCAGTTCCATTATGGTTAAGGAATCTGTACGGTGCAAAAAATAATTACTTAGATTTCATTGCGAAATACCATTGCAATAACGACGCAAGTTTCTTATTCCTGCGAAATCAATGTCCCGGTATTATTGGAAATGCCACCCCACATCATTCTATGAAAGTTTTCTTCTATACCATTTATCTGCGCAAACTGATAATAACAATGTTATAGAGGATATAAACTCCACAATTTCCAGGAGCCGTAATAACTTAACGTCCCCAGCCAGGTGACAAAATGACACAAAAGTCGTTAAGAGCTACGGAAAATCCA